CTCACCATCAGAACACTTCACAAAGCTCTTGTCAAGCTAGCTCTATTGTACATAATATGACATAGTTATAGGGAGTGTGTGTGTGTGCCCACATTTGTGTGACAGACAGAAGAGTGGAGTGTATGGAGTGTTTTAAAAAGCTCTTGTCATGCTGCTTCTATTGTCTGCTGGAGAGGGCAAGGGGGTGCGTGAGGAGGGGGCCGTTCACGCTGTGAGCCTGTTTCTCCGGCCTGTCAGAACTCTATCTGAGACTCAGCCGGAACTAATCAACTCCAATAGGCCTCCCCACTACCCACAATGCACCGTGCCTCGCTGGTGGCCGGTCGGTGGGAACACAAGGAATGAGCATTAAAAAAAAACCTCCTTCCTCTCACACACTCCTGGTCTACACCCCCTTTTAGCTGGCCCGCACGGCACACAACACTCCCACTGTCTCTCAGTGCTGTAATAATAAACACTTGCAATAATATTTTCACAGCAACCCAAAGTCGGCCTCAGATCACAGCTCTGCACAGCTGCAGCGGACACTTGCTTGGACACACACGCAAATTCATGCACTCTCACACACACAATCAAATATGTGCACGTAAACTGTACGACATATGCTTCTGGGTACAAACATTATACAGTTCAAACGTCTTTGTTTGGTTCATTATATCTACAATATCTACACTACTGAAAACTATTTGTTTGTTCATGCATTAAAATGGTTTACAAGACTCATTCATATTAAGATATCATTACCAACAGATTTTATAGGACCACAGTTCACTTTGTCGCTTGTGAATGGTCAATGGTCAGTACAGTGTTTTAGTACTTTTTTAAGAAACTAATACTTTAAAAAGAAATTAATACTTTCATGCAGCAAGTATGGCATAAATTGAGCAAAAGTAAGTTAAGACATATATTATATACATATATATCTATTTTTTTTTTAATGCTGTTATTTTGAATTTTCTATTCATCAAAGAATCCGAAAAAATGTATCACAGTTTCCACAAAAATATTAAGCAGCTGTTTTCAACACTGATAATAAAAATCAGAATATTAGATTTTTTTCTGAGGGATCATGTGACACTGAAGACTGGAGTAATGATGCTGAAAATTCAGCTTTGCATCACAGGAATTCATTTTATTTTAAAATATATTAAAATAGAAAACACTTCTTTTGAATTGCTATAATTTTTCACAGTATTGCTGTATTTTTGATCAAATAAATGCAGTGTTGGTGAGCAAAAAACACTTTCAAACACATTTTAAAATCGGAATAATTCCAATCAAAAATTTGCAAAATGCTGTTTAAAATAAATGTAGATGAAGTGTAGCTTTCTGAAAGTATTTTTACAATTGATAGACAATTTTAATCCAAGCCATTCGATGCTAACCAATGACCTGGCACGTTGCTAGCATCATACTTCAATGGCTGAGATAAGAAACGTTTATATCTTGCCAACTACACAGATATAAGTGATAAATGTAATAAAACAACTTACAAAACAAAATCTTCAAGGTATGAGCATGAATGAAAAAATTAGAGAAATTCCCTTTATAACTCACATACTGTACACAGCGGTGAGTCGGTGACTGTCCACAAGCACAACAGAGTTACTGCCCTCTGCTGGGGACTTACATTAACGCATCATCTCCACACGGTCATCATGCCAACCCACTGACATCAAATATTAGTCAACACTTGATCGGTTTTGGACGGCAATTTGTTCCAGTGAAAATTGGGGGAAAACAGGAAGTTAATCCCACACTGAAATTGGTTTTATGTATAAGTAGGCCGATATATTTGACGTTCAATTTACATCAAATCAATGTCATGTTAAGTTTTTGACGTTTTTTTTACGTCAATGTTTGATGTTAATTTGATATCGTCTCAACATCAATTATCCACTGGGAAGAGCACTGACAGAAAGAAAAAAGCGAGAGGGGAAATAAAATAAAATCTTTCTATTATTTCTGACGTAGCTATTTCACTATAGCAAAGTCTGGAAATGTTTACATTTTTAAAGTTTAGTTCATTTGCTCATTAGCATTAGGCTACCATAAAATATGCAAGTCAGGAAAATGTCAAAGACATCTGCTGCTCCAAGTTCACAAGAGTGACCAGACCTTCCATCTGAGTTTCCTGTGTGTCACTCTTGCCAAAGAGGATATGAATTGCATGAAGTGCTGATGAAAGAAAAAATGTGAGTGAATGTACTTCACTGGGAAGTGAGAGGGTGTTGTGGCTCTCTATGAAAGTGAAGTGGGGGTAGATTTAAATGTGTTAAAGAAGAACCAGCCAGCATCTCTCGCTCTCTCTCTCTCTCTGTTTTTAATACAATTGAAACTGTAGGCTATTTAACGTGATCACAATTTAAGAAAAACATTAGGCCCATTAATTAATTTCAACGGTTATTCAAACAAAGAACATATAGGAAAGTGAGCAAAAAACATACATTTTACAGTATCAACGGAGCTTTTTGAAACTCGAATCAGTTAAACCATTGCGTCGCAAAATGATTCACTGTTTTGAATTGCTCCAATCGGATCGCGTATCACGAATCATACACACACACACACACATTACAAGAGCTCCTCATTGTTTTAAACAAGTGTGCCAATGAATAAGTGGGTATGTGAACATGAATGAATGTGTATTTAAGCCTGCATGGATGTGTGTGTTTGTATGTAGGAGATGAGGGATGTTACAGAGGGTGCAAGTTTAGGAATTCATGTGTTTTTAAGAGTGAGAAATGATAAAGATTGAACGTGAATGAATTTACATTGTGTTACCATTTTACTAGGAGCTCACTATAGGATTGATAAAGCATGATAAAACTAATTGATCAGTTATTATAATGAATTGTAAACACACTTATGTTTCCATATGTTCACTTATATGGACTGCTATGTTTTTCCAGTGTTCAGGAGTGTGTGTGTGAGTGGAAGGGTGGGGGTGTAGCAGACCTATTGACTCCTGAATGGATGAAATAAAGACCAGCACATGGGAATGAGCTCTTGGCTCTTGGCGGGGATGGAGCATTGAGATGCACTGGTGTGGGATTAATCCTCCATTCAGCCTCTCCTCCACTCCACCGTTCTTGGCACAAAGGGCCCCACCCTGTGTATAGAGGGTTTCTGTGACGACCCCTAACCTGGCATTTTGCACCTCTATTCCCAACCACTTTATGAGAGCACACAGTTACTTTGTTCAATATTTACTCCTTCTCATATCCTTCAGATCCCTTATAAAACCGCTTGGAGATATTACATAGGGTGATCAGTTAAGTGGCCCTCGGTGTAAACTCTGGAATATTAAACTGGAAGAGGAAATAGATGCATACAATCAAAATTCCTTACATTTCTATAGCACATTTCCTGGAATTTCCATTCAAAGTGATTTACAGAGAGTAGGGAACTCCTCTCAATCACTACCAAGAGCTTGTTTTAATGTCTCATTTGAAGTGCGGTGGCATTTTTACAGTATAGTCTCCATCACCACTTGGGGGCATTAGGAACCACATAGACCACAGGCTGAGCGCCCCCTCTTGGCCTCACTGATAACTCTACCTGAAGTAATCTTTACTGTAGGTGTCACTGTAAAGGCAGCGTTATTTTAGTGTGTGTGTGTGTGTGTGTGTGTGAAATGTTTTTAATACGACTGAAACTGTAGGCTATTTAACGTGATCACAATTTAATAAAAACATTAGGCCGATTAATTAATTTCAACGGTTATTCAAACAACGAATAAATTATATAGGAAAGTGAGCAAAAAACATACATTTTACAGTATCAACGGAGCTTTTTGAAACTCGAATCAGTTAAACCATTGCGTCGCAAAATGATTCACTGTTTTGAATTGCTCCAATCGGATCGCGTCTCACGAATCATTTGATTCAGATCAGGACTTCGGCGCTGTTCGCGGGATGTTTTTTTTTTATCCCCACCGGAGAGGCAGGGATGCGTATGCAAATCGCACCCTGTATATATATATATATATCCACACACACACACACCCAACATACACACATAGCTTTAATTTATTTATTTATATTATTTATTTTTTATTTATTAGTTTAGTTTGTCATTTTAGTACTTCAAGTTAAACTTTTTTCAGTTTCACCTGGTTTCAGTAACATTTCTAAGATATTCATCTAATATTTAGGCCTACATTTATTTCACTTTTATTTAAATAAATGTTTTAAATACTTTTAGTTTAGTTAACAATAACAACACTGATGCAAGTAAATAGCTGCTCACTGAAAAACAGCATTTAAAATATACAATATACACAAATTATTTTCTCTAGCAATGTTGTTTTTTATTGGTAAATTGCCACGTGTGTTTTACATGGTATACATTTATTATAGTTCATTAATCTCACAATAGTTTTTAGCCTAAACAATGGTTTGTTTGTTGGTTTATATTTTACCTTTTTTTAATAGTGTGGAAAATTAGCCCTGGTCTCTCCAACATTATGAAGTAATAAGAGACTGGACGCTGTAGCCTTTAACTCTTTATCAGGGTATGTAATAATAAGATGAAGAGGGCCATAATATATGCATCTCATGTGACTGCAAAGCCTCACACAACATGAGACACAAAAAAATGTATGAATTCAGCAGGTGTTCTGCAGGGCTCTGTGCTCACCTCACAAACAAAGACTCAAAAGACCTCAAAAGCTAACTTCCAGCCCTCGCAAAATACATTTCGCTTCAGATTTGACCACTAATTATATTAAATAAAGAGTTTATACTGGTTTCATTTTATAACGCACATAGGTGGCGGGCACAAGAGGTCACGCCCATATATTTAAAATCACAGTTTCAATCCTGAGACTGTTTATATTTAATCACAAAATCAGAAACTCCACTCAAACTGAATCTTATATGACCGTGGGTGTTGAAGTTTTAGCATTTATCAATATGAAACTTTGTTGACTCAGACTTAAAGCTTTCACCGGTAGCTCACCACTTCCAGGAAGTCGTACACTGAGGAACTGCTCGAGACACTTTATGACAAAACACTGGCATTTAGCCGATGCACAAAACTCAGTGCAAGTATATCTTTTTTTACATTAAGTACCGCCGAGTGACTTTTGTCATCGTCGATTCGCGCTTCTACAGTCTCCGCGCGTCAGGATTTCCATCAAGTGAACTGACATGAATGAATTGCGTGAGATCAGAAGTGAAACGTTTGAATGAACGCGCCATAGTTTGAAGATGAGTAGTATGAATTATTTCCATGTAATATTGTGATGGCTTCCTCAACCGAGAGACCCCACATTTCAGGTAAGCTTTATATCTATCTATCTATCTATCTATCTATCTATCAGAAAAGTGCAAAACTGTTACTGTACCTTTGCTGTCCCTTTTCTGTCCAATCATATTTAGGCTATATTAGACATGCCATTTTTATTTTTTTACTTTTTAATTAGGCTCATATTTTGGTCTATATGGCTAAACTTGGCTCTAACCTTATTCACTGGAGAACTTATCATTCGAATTGACAGGAAACAATTGTAAAATCTGAGTGTTACTGGAGTGAAAAATGGCTCATCTTCCCCCACTCTCCCTATAGGAGCAGAGGAGAAGCAAACTGTAAAACTCCTGTCTTCACAGATGCTTCTGGTGGATGCTCTTTATCACCTGGGCCCTCTGATAGACTGTGTTATATCTGTAGGTCTGCTCTCTAGACAAAACTGTTATGAAATTGAAGCTGAACGAACGCCACCCAACAAAGTCCGAAAGCTTCTAGAGATAGTTGACGCTCAGATGGATGAAAGTGGAGCCTCTAGTTTCATGGAGTGTCTGAGAAAATGCAAGAAACATTACCCGCGTCTACGAACCTGGTTGACCTCAGAAGAAGGTATGCTATGACTAAAGTTACGTTCTGTCTTAAAACATAAATGCAGTAGCATGATGTAAATACTAAAACATTTTGCACTCTCATATTAGATCACGTCCAACCACCAGGCATTACGCAAGGTCCAACAGGTAAGACAGTCTCAGCATTTTCACTTTTACTTAATGTAAATGTCTCCCAGCCCTCACCATTGTCCTGTCTCCATGCAGAACGTCAACTACAGGCCCAGTTTAATGTTTTGTGCTCACGCTTGGGCCTTTCTGTACTGCCGGTCTCCTTCGATCTCTTCTCCAGAGGCATTCTGACTCAGTTGGAGCTGGAGAAAATCCAAGCAATAATCATCCCAACACAGCAAGCACAAACCCTGCTGTCCATCTGCCTGAAGAAAGGAGAAAAAGCATGCAAGAGCTTTTACACAGCGCTAAAGAATGAAGACGAGCAGCTAGCTGAGGAACTTAATGGTCAGCACAACTTTAATAAGTTAACTAAATGCAGTTTTATAATCTAAATGCATATAATATTGTAATGCACACTACCGGTCAAATATTTGGAATAATTAAGATTTTTAAATGTTTTTGAAAGAAGTCTCTTTTGCTCATCAAGACTGCATTAATTTGATAAAATTATATCAGTATTATAAAAACAACAATATTACGATGTATTATTACAATTTCAAGTAACTGATTTCAGTATATTTTGAAATGTCATTTACTGTAATGGCAAAGCTGAATTTTCAGCAGTCATTACTTCAGTCTTCAGTGTCATACTCTGATCTGGCAATTATTATTAGTGCCAGGTTATTATTAATAGTCATTATTATCATTGTTGAAATTTTGCTGCTTATTTTTGTGGAAAACATTTTTTTTAGGATTCTTTGATGAATAGAACGTTCAATGAACAGTAATTAAAATGTCTTTACTGTCACTTTGATTAATTTGAATGCCTCCTTGCGGAGTAAAAGTATTAATTTTTCTTTATTTTTTACCTCAAATTTTTTTTATGATAAAGTAATCAGTTTCAGCAAAAATATTACCACAGAAAAGTAATAAACATCAGTTAGAACTCCTAATATTGTTTCAGCCAGGACTTCAGCTTCTTTACAGTCTTCTAATTTTTCAGTGAACAGTTTGGTGGAAGACCTTAATAAAGAGCCTGAAGGCAGCATTGTGCCGATAGCAGTGGAGGAAACCAGAGGTCACTTGAGGGCTTTACCTCTGTCAGGTGATTCACATTTCAGCATTATACTCATTTTGTTGAAAAATATGAGAGACTGTAGAAATATTTATGGCTGGTCAATTTGCTCAGACCAAAAAAAAATAAATTTTTGTTTCCAGAATTCATCTAAGATCTAAGCTTGCAGAACTGATGTTGTCCTTGTTGATCTTGCTTCCATCAGGAGGCCTGCAGCAGGTCATGACTCGGCTGGGCTTGACTGTGGGGGATGAGATTAGGTTTAATGTCTGTGAGGTTGGTGTGGCGGTAGGTTTGCCGCGTCGGACGGTCCAAGAGTATTTTCTGGAAGGGGTTGGCATTGAAGACTCAGCCCAGCTGGAGGCTCTAGTGTCCCTGTATATAGAGAAGACAAAGGACGCCGACAGACTACTGAGCAGAGTGGCAGAACTCAGCCCTCAGTGTAAGTAAAGGCCAGTCCATCTCAGGCTTAACCTCAGATTCTGTTTAACAAATGAAGTTAAAGCAAATATTTTTGTAAATAACTATTAATTTTTTCAGTTGTAAATAGTTTTTCAGTAGAGTGCTTCTTTAACTGAACTGTTGCATTTCTGCTTAAATTTAAAATTAAAATTAAATTAAATGTAACATTTTGAACTGCTTATTAATATATAATTAAGGTTGGATAAATAAAGTCTTGTGATGTTACCAATATGCAGAAATATGCATTAATAAAAATCTGAAATATATACTTTATATAAAACAATATATACTTTTTACCTTAGAGTATGGGGGCCAGTATGATTTTTTTAAAAAATGAAATTAATACTTTTATTCAGAAAAAAAGCATTAAATTAAGACAATACATTTATAATGTCAAGAGGTTTCTATTTCAAATAAATGCTGATCTTTTGAATTTTCTTTTCATCAAAGAATCCTGAAAAACTTATCACAGAAACAGTCCACAAAAATATTAAGCAGCACAATTGTTTTCAACATTAATAATAAGAAACATTTATTGAGCACCAAATCAGTATATTAGAATGATTTCTGAAGGATCATGTGAAATTGAAGACTGGAGTAATAAATGCTGAAAATTCAGCCTTGCCATCACAGAAATTATATTTTAAAATATATTAAAATAAAAAAAAAGTTAAAGTTTTTATTTAAATTAAATATTTGACAGTGTTACAGTTTTTTTTATACTGTATTTAAGATCAAATAAATGCAGCTTGGTGAGTATAAGCATCTTTCAAAAAAAAAAAATTTGTACCAACCCAAGCTTTTGAACAGTAGAAAGAAATTGTGATAATTAAGATTTTACATTCACATCTATTCAAGTTCAAGAAAATGATAAATAAAACCAACATGATGTATCTGGTTGTCATCTGTAGGGGTCCAGCTTTCAGAGAGGGGGTGCCTGCTGTTGAGGTTGCTGCAAAAAGCCGAGACTCTTCTCCGCAGCGGTATCCACAGTCACCGGCACAGCTGGGACCACCTTCACGATCAGGACCACTTACGCAGCTGGGACCACCTGTGTCCTGATGACTGCACAGATCAGCGCACCATGTGGGCCATCTTCAGCTTTCTGGTGTGGGACTGCATGGCAGAGGTTCTGGAGGAGCCGGAGGCGAAGCCTAGCGGAGGCATACTAGGCATGATCGAGCAGCTGAGCGCCAGCGGCAGAGTGGAGGCCGCTTTGCTGCAGGAAGTGGAGCAGTGCTGGACCGAAGGGGATGCCGAGAGTCTGCTGCAGAGTGTGAGAGTCCTTGCTCAGGTGCTAAGAGACCTTCATCCCCTCCAGGAAGGCCTCCAGCTTTCCTCTTCAGTTGAAGGGTTGTTTTCCTGCAGGCCCAGCAGGCTACACCGGGTCACTTCCTTCCAGGGCGTCTCTGCGCGGGTCATCCGTAAAGCTCTAAGCAGCATGGTTCCATCCTCCTCGGACCAGGACACAACTCTTCTTGCTAGACAGCACATGGAGGCGTGCGTTCGTATCGCACGTCTCCTAGATGTCGTGCAGCCCAAACGAACCACCGTTGACTTTTCAAATGCGCCCCCTGCTACGGTCATCCAGCATGTGCGGTTTGTCTTATCAAATCCTGCTTTTAACTCTGAAGCCTTTGACGCGGGAGTTCGCCATCGCTTGCTTTCAGTGTTGGAGTTCAATCCTGCACAGCTGGGATTGGGCTCTCTCAGGCAGCTCCACCAGGAGACCCTATCCGAATTCCAAACATACTTACAACACGGCGAGCACCACAACTTCCAGTTTATTCTCGAATCAGTACGGATACTCGGTCCCGCGAAGCTGTTTTCTGTCAGCAGGGTTCATGGGCCTGTCGCCATCGACAATGGGGTGGAGGAGGTCATTCGTTTTATCACTTCAGAACCCACTTCATTCCTGGTACGACTGCACAGTCTTTGTTATGAAGAAGGAAGGGGGCGCTTCAAGGTGTGTGCGCCACGTTGTGCATGTATGTATCTGCTCAAAGCAGAAGGGCTGCGTGACATGCAGTGGTGCGGTGGCAACGTTTTGGCTGAGATAGGTGGGAAAGTGTGGGTCAGAGAGGGAGAAAGTGATGGCTGGGATGAGCTACAGGCGCTGGCTCAGAGACACTCCGCTCAGCTCAAGGTTGAAGGATGCTGCTTCAAGGTCAAGACCTCTGGGTTGGAGTGTGAGGTCAAATTTATATACAGGAGTGGCAGGCTATGGGCTATGCCACATAGGGATTGTGAGGTAGATTAAAATACGGGTAGTTGACACTTGACATGACGTTGCAGTGACAAACAGTAGCTGTGTTTCCATTACCCATCAAATTGCCCAAATTGAAATTGCGAATTGAATGGAAACACGCCAATTTCGCAAAAACTGCCAAATATCGGACAAACGTTTTTATGCTGGCATGAGATGGTTTTGGGGCAATTCAAAAAAATGAATATTTCGCAAAACTGTAATGGAAACCGTTCTTTCGCATTTACAGGTCACCTGGTGTACGCAAGTCACATGATCATTCTTTAATGTACTATAATCCCCAAGAAACACCTCAAAAGTGGCCGCTCTCAAGTATAAGGGGCTTTCCTTGCCATTAATGCTTAATGACCCCTTATTTACACTGCAATACAGCTCAGACACGGCCACCAGAGCTGATCGCGGCCACTCTAACGTAAGTCAGTGCTTGTGTTTATACCAGGTGCGCCGCAGCACGCTCTCCACAATGCTTCGCAAAAGATACACACCTACTTCTCCTTCGATTAAACCTAAACCAACATCCGTCGCCATGATTAATCGTGAGAGGAAAAAAATATGTTTTAGTTGCATAACACCGGTTAATGGAAAAGCCGTCATTTCACAACAGTTTTTTCATCAGCATTTATAAAATATTGCAAAAGATTTGCACAAATCTGTAATGGAAATGCAGCTAGTGTCACATGCTGTACTTCATTTAAAAGTATTTTAAAGTTTTTTCCCTCAAATTTTTAACATTTATAGATTAATTTTATGAATAAAAATGGATTTGTAGCTATTTAGGTGCAAAAACACAAGCAAATTTTATCATTTATTTAACATTATCTTAAAGTATAAAAAGTATACTGAGCCCCGCACGTGATGATATGCAGGGGAAAAAAAATAATATAAATATATATACACACACACATCATGGCCACAGATTAAAAATGTGTTCTCTTGGTTTAGATAAATCGCAGCAAATAAATGAGAAAAAAAGAAATACATCGTGGTCATAATTTTACTAAAATGAGAGAACAAATTCTTAATTCTTGGCTACAATAAATACATTTTTGTTCGCATGTTAAGTGCAGGGCTCCGTAAAATAGGAAAAGAGCAAGTAAATACCACAAATTTGAAATTAAAGTCTGAAAAATCATATTTGTAATGTATTGTGCTCAATATGCTAAAGCATACTGAGGTTTTAATAACTGCACATCATATCAACTCTTGTGGTTTACATGGTGCTGTGCTACTGAAAATCAATAACCAGCTAGGAATTATTTACAGAACACGTTATTACCATGTCAGTGTTACGAACTGAACATTGCTTGAACATTTATTGTAATTATGAAACGTTAATTCCAACTGTTTTACATTTTTGGCTGCTTTGCTTTTTCACTGTTCTCAAAATCAGAAAACAATGCATATAATAATGTGATATAAAAAACACAATGAAGCATTTTATTAACTAAAATTTATTGTGGAATTATACATTTCTTAAAAAATTATAGAACTAATATGTTAAATACAATTAAACAGTCAAATCAGTATGCCTGCATGCACACTGATATTTAAAATACTTCATATGAAGATTCAAGTAAATGTCATACTAGGTAAAACTGTCTGAAGTTATCTATTGTTTATCAATGTAATCTGGCCATGCCAACACCTCCCACATAATTCTCATGGTTTGTTGCATAGACAGGCCCTCTCAACATGAGCATTACACAGGTATGCTGCAGTAAGGATGTTTGATCAGACCAAACTAGGGATGTCAAATGCATTGGAATAATATTGCGCATGGAAATATGATGTTATTCATAGACCATATTCCTTGAGCTCAAGTCATTTGACATGAGCTGACAATGCAAACCAGCCCTCTCTTTTCAGCTTGTCCACCTGTCAGAAATAAAATACAAAGTATCTGGAGTTTTAGATACTATAAGTATCAATATTACGTTTTAGAAACTACGTATGATGGTTATATGTGCAATAAAAATGATATTTCATACTTGATTATCAAGCCTCTGGATTTCTACACTATCCAAACTTTGTGGTGAGACTCTTTCAGTTGACCTGAGAAAAAAAAAAAAAAAAATTTTTAATATTACTTAGCTAAATCTAAAACGCAATTTAACACAGATTTGAAAAATGCCAAGAGTCAAGTCTAATGTGTTTCTGTTCATATCTTATAAGCAAATCTGTTCTTGGCTTTTTATAACTCACCTTCGACTACTTGCACTGGGTTGTGGTGAATGGTTTCTCTCAGGAAGTGTCAAAAATTGCTCTGGAGTTAACCCTCGAACTGCTTTAAAACATGAATAGTCGCCATATACGAGTTACTCTCATTCTGCAGGATCTGAGAGGATGTAAGCCTTATTAAAAGAGACACACACCTGTATGAGTGCTGCTGGAGTGAGGAGGTACTGGGGAAATGGCAGGAGAAACTCTGAGAGAGGCGCTCTGTTTCTGTTGTTCAATGAGCTCTAGTAGTTTAGCTCTTGCTTCAGCACTCTGGCGGTTCAGCTCCTGCAGTTTTTGTTCAATCTCCATCGTTGAGGATCTCTCTACAGATCCCTGGACAAATCAGCATATTAGAATGACTTCTGAAGGATCATGTGACACTGAAGACTGGAGTAATGGCAGCTGAATTTATATCACAGGAATAAAAAACACTTTAAAATATATTAAAATTGAAAACAGTTGTTTCAAATTGAAAATAATATTTAACTACTGCTGTTTTAACTGTATTTTTGATCAAGTAAATGCAGCCTGGGTGAGCATTAGAGAGGAGTCTTTTAAAAAAAAAATTTAAATCTTATTGACCCTAAACTTTTGATCAGTAGTGTAAAGTCATATTTGTTAGAAGTAAAGGCACAACTATAAGAAATAAAGTATTGAAAACTGAAAAGCAGTTGTGAGGAGCTGCAGACTACTTTACTCCAAGTCCACAGTATGTAACTAACCTGCTGTGTGTGCTGTGGCTCTGTAGAGGGCGACACTTGTCTAACTACAGAACTGGCTGTGGAAAGCCGGTCTGCACTCTGCTCCCTCGACACTGAAGCTCCAGCTGGAGATGGACGGTGCTGCCCCAACTGCGCCCGGATCGCTGCGTTCTGACGTGTCAGTTCCGCAATCTCCCCTAACATGGCATCTTGAGAGAGATCGTCCAGCAGAGGAGTGGGCCGTGGTAGGCTAGCGAAGGAGGAAGGAGAGATGGAGATGTCAAAGTCCTCCAGTGAACCCTGACTTCCCGTTGCTGCACAGGAGCCACTGTAGTGCAGCGGGGGTGCGTGTGAATGTGGACGACATGCTGGGAGAAGTAAGAAAATACTGTTGAGTCATATTTGCATTGATGATTCAATTAGATTTAGCAAGCTTTCAGAAGAGAGAAAAGAAGTGACTTCCTAAGAAGTCCTAAAGTACATATATTTTTTAACTCAGTTACTGCATTTTGATTGTTGATTCATAAATGCTGGGCAGAGTTACAGAAAGTACACCCGTGCGAACCCTCCTTTCTTTTCAGAACATGTATCAAAACATAAACAAATATTTTATATTTTCTAATGAGTGGTTTCAGTAATGCAAAGTTAGCCACCCACAACCATTTTTTAAATAAATATTTTCAAAATAAAGTGTGACCTAACAATTTTTCCTAACATTTGCTAATCTTAGTTCTTAGTATTAGTTCTTAGAGTTCTTAGTATTTTCTAGGGGTGCTGATGGGGGTTGCTTGGTGGATTCTTCAGGACGTTGAAATTCGTAGACATGTATGGGACCTTTTTATTTAATGTCTATGTATGATCTATTTTATCATCCTCCAAAATGTTGCATCTGGATTATAAAAACAACAATAGTGATGCCCGTCTTAGTGTTAAGCCCTCAACACTACTAGGTGTAAATTGACAGAATGAGGGATCTTTCTACACTTCAGACTGACCTGCGGGAGGCAGACCATCTCTTTGACGAGGAGGAGAGAGCAGCACGGCTGCAGAGACAAAGTCCTGTTGCTGTAGATCCTTTTCAGTACAGCCAGACTCCAGATTTCTGCTTTCTACAGAACACAACACAATCTTCTTAATCACTGTGCTGCTGCAGGTTTAAATACATACTCAAGATAACCAATCCTGATCAAATTAGATACAACTAGTTTACAGGTGCATAATCTGTGGATCTACAGTTTGTGGTAGTTACTTCGAGCTGCATTATCTGTGATTTCCACTGTTTTGTGTGGTTCTGCAGAATCTGGTCTTCCCACCACCAGGACTACAGAATCTAGACGCCGCTCTAGGTCAAATATCTGCTGCTGCAGCCGTTCCTGCATCAAAACAAAAGCGAACACCATCAAAAATGGCATATGAATGGACAAACTTGCAAATAACATCTGGATACTGTTTCTGAAGGCTAAATAGTTCACCTGCAGGTTGGCACTCTCTTCCCTCAGTGTCAGTGACTCTACAGTCAGGGCGTCAATCAAAGCTCTCTGCTCCTTCACCTCCTCCTCTAGTCGTCTTCTCTCCTGTGCCTCCCTCAGAGCCTCCTCTTCTTTCTGTGCAAGTGATGTAAATGAGGAAGTGACTCATTTGACCAATTTTGTTAAAGAATCTTTTGGATTTCACTTATGTGCCCTTACTTTTCTAATATGACTGGCTAGACGTCCAAGTGTCGCCACTAGAGCAACAGAGAAGCCGGTGAGGCCTGGTCTCTGTTGCTGTGGTCCAGCTTCTGATGAAGGATTCTGGTGGTCTAGAGAGTCCAGCTCAGTGTCCACTTGCTCAAGCATGCCCTGCAGAAGCTCCAGACTGGACTGGTTTCCTGCCATAGAGCTTAACCCTGAGCCGTTAAGGCCAGAGGTATGTCCGGAGCGCCCCCTACTGGCTTGAACTGAGCTTCTCTTAATACCTGAAAAAAAAAAAGATAAAAAAACAGGTATTACCATTTATTCTATGTAATTTATGTCTAGATACACAACTAAATACACACACACACACAATAAAATTTATTAAAAAAAATTGTTTTTACTGCATTAATATTATTGTTGTTATTAGTGCTATTAAAATGTATATATTATATATATTTTTTTTTTAAGTCTGTCAAGCTCACCAATCCTGATTTGATCAAAAAAACAGTCAAAACAATAATGCTGTGAAATATTATTACAAAATAAAAAATAAAAAAAACTTTTAACAAAATTAAAATAAGTATTATTACGTTATTGTATAATATACTACAAATAGTGTCTGATAACAGTGCTCAACCTGGTTGAGAGGAAGCAGGCTCTGGGTTCAGAACCTGGTTGACTAGTGAGGTAGATTGGTTTACATCAGGACAAGTCTGTCTGGATTTTAAACGCTGTACAGCCACCGTGGCGTTGAGGGCTGCGCAAAAGAAGCAGATATTTAAAAAAAAAAAAAAAAAGTTCAACAGATTCATCTTGACAATAACCTGCAATGACATAAAGAAGCTCATGCCTTCATTACCTGCCTGATCTTCTCTGACTCTAGTGTTACATGGTGTCTTGAGTAGCTCTTGCTCCTGATGATCTGAGGTCCATGGAAAGGACTTTGACCTACATTTATTTCTTTTTCTGAAAACAAGCATTTAAAAAATGACTTTCTAAAGACAATCAAAATGCATTAGAAGTTGTTTATTGAAGATAAATGAACAGTCATTCACACCTGTGCATCACAGAGCTGAGGTGCACAGGGGCATCCTGGACTTCATCATGTTCCTCTTCACACTCCTCCAACTCATTCAGGGCCTACAAAAGACTTTATTATTCTAGGTTTTATTACAGAGTAAAAGCTGTAGGTGGTGCTTGTGTGCGAGTACCTGCTGATCCATCATAGTCTGGCTGAGCAATGACAGCTGGGTTGGAGGATCAGGTTTTTGATGGACAGGAAGCTCAGAGTCAGAATCACAGTCAGGTGCCACAGTAATGGTGGGGAATCCTAAAAAACACAAATTTATGAGCTTTCACAAGTACATTTACGTAATACTTGTTTGATCAGATAATAGCACATTAGTTTATACTGCACAAGAATCAAATACCTGTGCGTCGACGGGGTGCATCACCAAACAGGTCTTTCACCTCAGCCAAAGCTCTGTCAGACCGTGCAATGACATCCTGCAACTGACACTGATCTGAAAACAACTTTAAAAAAAACTTTTTCATAACCTTTTTGTTATCTGATCTGATTTGTTATCGAACAAAATGTTAGTATGAGCTTTGTAAAGTCTGACATATAAAATAATAGTTAGACAAAACTGATTTATTTTTATATGTAACGGTTTTAATATATCTAAACTTTTTTGTTGAGTATCATATTTGATCCACCAGGCTTTATGGCTAATATAGTATGATAAAGTGGAGCTCACACGTTAAGATGAAAAAACACCTCAATTTTATTCAGTGGTCAAAACAGAGTTAGGAAATATGTTATTTGGTGCAGTTTCTGATATTTATCAATGAGATCTTTAAAACTTTAGTACTAAAGGTCTTTAATTTTACTTGCTAAAAAGTCTAAACTATATGACGGGGTTTTTTTTGTTCGTTTTTTTTTTAGCTTTTTAAGTTTTTAGCTTTACTAATCCAGAGAAATTAAGAATCTGTGTATCAAATATGATACAGTAGGCTTTAGAGTTAAAACATATTACATTCTTCCCAGATGTAGTTTTTACAAGCTTAATTTTGTGAGCTGTCTGTAATCCATTTGCACCTCTCTGATGATGTTGAGTCGGGCTCTATCAAGTCCTGGAGGACTGGGGGGCTGGTTTTTCCTCCGTCTGCGTGTTAAAGCCTTTTCTTTTAATTCCCACTGCGCCACGACCCTGTTCTGAGATCTGTGCATCTCATGACGTAGAGCCTGAGAGATCAATGCATGGAGAAAAATATATAATCAATAAATCCTTAAGAAAACAGCTCACACCTTTCACAGTAAACTCCTTACCAGTTCCTCCGGTGTGGCTTTATGCACTGAAAGATCATTGACCGTGCTCTAAAATAAAAGGAAAATATAAATTATAAGGCATCCCCTCCAGAAAAAGGATTTAAAGTAATTGGTTGCATGACGGGTTCTCACCACCCATTCTTTCTTTGGTGCAGACACCTTCCTGCTTCGCACTGGTCTTTTACCCGCACCATATAAAGGACGGTTCATCCGCACTAAAGACATCTCACTGTAACAGACACAGGTGGCACCTATAGAAACAAACAATATACTGCTGGACAAAACATACGCCGCTATCGATCAAGTTTGCACTTAGTTTTCTGTATGTGCAGAACAGAGAACATTATGACTATCACTGTAAATTAACGTATCTTTACGAACAGCGAAACTTATCTTTTAATTTATATAACGTTACGTGCTACAATCCAAACACATCCTTGCTAACTACTAGCTAATCGTGTTATGCACAGTGACCGACACAAGTTGGCTTAGTACTGACAAAAAGATATACTCATTTTACCTAAAACTGTCAGAAGAACAATGGACTACGATTTTACCGTTTGTTTTTGTTGGTGTTGTAGTAACAGGAAGCGTTGATCCGGGCAAATTTAAAAGCACCGCTACAATACATTTCAAAATAAAAGTGTTCCGTGACTAAAAAACAATTATTTTCCTTAAAGATTATAATAACCCTCAAGATGGGAATGTCTTAAAAGGCTATAAATACTAAATATAGATAAACTAAAGATTTTCTTTGTTAAGTATGCTTTTAGTTTTATTACTTGTTTCACAAAGAACCCCAAAATAATTTTTATATCCACCAGAGTGCGCTGTCTACTTACAGTTACGTTGCGGAATACCAGATTGCTTTGTCTAGTTCTGCATGATTGTCACCATGTGACCTTGACTTGATTTGTCTTGAAGAAAGAGAAAAGGTCTTCTTGTGTACAAACAGAAAATAAAATATATGTTACGCAACATTGATCACGCTCAAAATCGTTTCTTTTTTAGTGACTTTAAACATTACTGTAGTGAAGAGCATGTAATATTAGCTATTATTAAAAATGATACTGATAGAAAAGTTAAGTGGCATCATTTTTATTTATTTTATTTTACAGTTTACATGTAACCTGTTGTTCATTGCATACATTAATACACACATACATACATATATGTAAGAATATATCATGAACTTAGTGTTATATGTGTTAATATATTAATAGAAATATTTTTTTGTCCGCTTGTTGTCGATAGTGGCCTATTCCTGTTATACCTTTTAAATGATTGTTTTACGGGTTGAATGTAACATGTTTTTCATTGTATATTATCTATTCAATAATTATTTAATATATTGATTTTAAAAAACTTGGCTATTTTTTCTGTCCGTTTGCTGATGATAGTATTTACACAAGCGATCTCTTAGTCCTAATTGTGGGCACTAATGGATGTGAGCTAAATGCATTACAATACGGCGTTTCCGTCCCTTTTGTGCTCAGGGAGATCCCCACGGGCACCGCTAAACACCCATCGCACAGAAGCCGCTCCTGAAACGCCCAGGGGCCCCGTCAACATACAATGACACTTGTTTGCACTGTGCAACTGGCGGAGAAGCAAAAAGTTAGGATTTGTAAGGCACAGCACTGCGCATGCGCCGCTTGACGGGTGGGCAGCTACCCGCTCAATGTAGGAGAAGTTGTCAGTGGGTCACTCTCAGTCTATCAATGCCGAATCCTCACTATGCACTAGTCCTGCTTGAGATATTGACAGCTGACTGCTTGCACCCTTTGGAAATCAGTTGTTGCAGTTGAGTGCTCTTTTAAATATTAATAAGCCGGACCTCCCAAAACTTTTAGTGAAGTCGCATGATATGGATTAATGTGGAAAAACTTCCTTGACTGGTTAGTAAAAAAAACGTGATAACACATTGAGGAATCGAGCGTATGGATTACAAGTGAAGTCAGTGTTGGTTGCTCCGTATCTCAAGGGAAGACATTTGAGAAGTGGCGACATGAAGATCCGCTCAGAGTTGGATTGATGCAAAGTTCGCAGGAATATTGGATATTCAGAATTTATGGTTTATGAGTACAAAACCCCATCCCTTATGGCTTTTATGCGTTTTCATATGTGCCCTCTTTACTTTCAATCCGAAACAAAGCTACTGGAAGTCTTGTGACGGCTGGGGTAAACAGTGGATACTTGTCTGGAGCAATTCTGCTGGATCTATTGAATTAACATCGGAATTTCTCTGCCTAATGACATTTCCAAAGTTGTTAGTTGGGATCCTTTTTGCAACGTCTCCTCATTTTATTAGTTTCATTTACCGAGTCATTAACTTAACAGGTCTAGACCAGATCCTGGGGTATTTTAGTCGCACAGGTTTGTGACAGTATGCGGGGATGCACGGGATTCCCGATGGCCGTCTCGGTGGTATTGACACTTTTGACCATCATTAACGTGAAGGCGAGTGGAGAATACTGTCACGGTTTTCATGACGCCCAGAGCGCATGGAGAGACGGCTTTCAGTGCCCGGAGCGCTTCGACAGCGCCGAGGCCATCATCTGCTGCGGGAAATGCGAGCTCAGATACTGCTGCTCCAGCTCAGAAGCTCGCCTGGACCAGGGCACATGTGATAACGATAAGCAGACACAAGACACCAACCCTGGGAACAAGGACGACAAAAATTCTGGGGCAGGTAAGCTGAAGTCTGCATTGTTTTCTGGTAGAGTAACTTCCTCTGTCTGAAACAACTTAGTCAATTATACCGTGTAATCAAATTGTACGCCAGCTAAGTTTAAATGGTTTAATTCAATAACTTTTAGAGCAGCAGCAGTGTGTAACGTATATCGACCCACTTAAATAAATGTGTGCCTCAGGCGTTTTGTGCGTAAAAGCCCCACTAAATGAGAAAATTGGGTTGAGTTTCGTGTCCAAATGAGGTTAAAAACGCTTAAGGTTAATGTTGTTTGCATGTTTATCTCCAAGAAGCCATCTAAGCGAGAAGCGCTTCTTATTTAGAACGAGCTCCATTATTCCCGAACGAATGATTCTTATGAACAGGCTCTTTTAGTGAATCACTTCTGAATCAATTGGAGCGGTTACTAATCGGACTCACTTACTGAACGGCAAGTCGTTAATTTCGTCATTTCCGACTCGAAATGAACCAGGTACTGTGTAGGTGTAGTTAAAGATACACATTATGGGTTTTGTTGCAATAATAAGTATTTATGAAATTATGCATTAATTATGCATATTTAATGAAAGAATAATTAATGAAGTTTTATCATTTTAAATGCAATTTCTATGTATAATATATAGTAGCATACCAATAAGTGGATTGTACTTATGAATATTTATTTCTCATTAGTTAAGCTTCTTATTGAAATCTGAAATTATATGATCATTTGTCAATAGACTGATGAGAGAGCTGTAAATGCAGTAGGATTTTTTCTTCTTCCTCAAAAGTACTAAAAGAATCATTAACTGGAATCGTTATAAAGAATCGGAAACAGAATCGTTCAATTAGGCTACTAACCCATCCCTAAATAAACGGGTTAAATGTCGCTGCTTATCCAGGTTTTGACAGCTGCAGTTAAATTGGCATCCAAATTGGCACCTAACCGTCCACTCACTCACAAATGGTAAATTGTACTGCGCTCGGTTATAAATAGCACAGTAACGAGCGCGCGAGAACTCCAGTCGTCCGGTTCCCCACGATGATCAAATTCAGACTTGACCGGATCTCCGGTGCGATGTGCTGACAGCCTCGTTCATAAAATAACCATCGCCGGTGCATCGTTTCCATCCTTTGTGCAAGCTCAAAAACTTTTAATTCAACTGGAGTCAACGAATTTCTCCTCAGCTGAACCAAATTGGGGACACTGGGGCTAGTTGTCACACTTTTCACTCCAGTGAATGTTTCTCAGAGTAGGCTTATTTTTTCAATTTCTATATAAACACATACTTTAACGTTAACGTCTCCGTTATTTCCACAGCTATTGACCCTAAAAGGGCAACAGTTGAATAAAACCACAGTATGTTGTTACAACCTTGCTATTAATGCACAATAGACTTTTCAGCATAATTTAATTTAAATAGTAAACGGTCAAATGTACATGAATTTGAACGTATGAAATGACAACTTATGAACCTAACAAATCAAATATTGTCCTTCAAATTGATACAAAAGTAGATTTTGAGTTCTAAAAACTACCTATAACCTAAAAAACAAAAACAACACAGTGATTTTTTTTAAGAAATAGATGCATATCTGAAAGGCAAGAGGAAATGGCGGTCTGCTACTACAGCATGTGAGCATGAAGTTTGACAGATCCTGTCTGGCAGTTGAAGACTTGGCTCCACTTGGACAATAATGCAACAGGTGTGAATTAGTGTTAAGAGGCCCCAAATCCTTTTAAGGACACGAGAAGGGCTTTGCTGTCATCCTGTATCGGCAGTGAACTTCAGATCCACTAATAACATTCTTGATTCAACTACAACAGTACAAATAAATCATGTTAGCCTACATGTTTTTTTCTTTTATCTTTTTGTATAATATATATAATATGTTAATTTGAATGGATGCCATGGGCTAATAAATAAATAAAAACAGGTAATTGTTACTTTTTATCTCACAATTATGATGTTTTTCTCGCAATTCCCAGTTCAAAACTCACAATTCAGACTTTACATCTCACAATTCTGGTTTTTTTTTTGTTTGTTTGTTTCTGCAGTGGAATTAAAAATAAAAGGTAATTGCGACATTTTATCACATAATTCTGACTTTTTTCTTGCAATTGCAAGTTTACCTCACAATTGCAAGTTAACATCTCGCAGTTGTTTATATCACAATTCTGACTTTATATCTTGTGATATTTCCAAGTGTGAGGATAAAAAGACAGAATTGTGAAACATGGAATTGCAAGAAAAAAACTTCCACATTTATCCAAATGATACAAAGAGTAAAGAAATATATATTTTACGTTTAACAAAACTATTGAAAACCCCTGGCATGACTGTGTCACCATCCATCTCATTAGACACCTTTTGTTACCACTAGCACACTCTGAATTATAACAAAAAGCATCTCTGAGGAACAATAAATCTATGGAAATAACCTGTACAACAGATTCTCTATTGTTTTTCCACACACATTTGTGTGTAATTGTGAATAGGGTGTTTCAAAAAAAAGGGAGTGTTTCAACTGCCAAAAAAGCACTGATTTTCAAAACATGCATGCAAACTTAAAGCTTGCCAAAATTTAGGTCATTTACTGAAAAAGTCCACTATTATAGTAATAACTACCAAAAGAGCTCCTGTAAGAATGACTCCGCTGTCATTTTTGCACAGCAATCATGTCTTTGGTTCAATAACGTTATTATAATAAATTGTTAAACAATGGCTGCATTTTTTAGGTTATGGCTCTGTAAGTAGAGTCTGTTTTGCTCCTACAATAAAATCAAAAGCCACTTTGCATTGGCTATTATAGATGATTTGATTCAACTCAATTATGAGGGTGAGAGGTCCTGACCAGCTGCAACAAAGTAAATGCTGAAAGCTTTCCTCTGGCGATCAGATGTCTAATTAAGCTATAAAGGTCACTTTTAATGCAGAGCAGGGTTGGGCCGATAGACGATCCCATCGTCCATCGCCGATGGCAGATAGACATCACGATGTTGAGCCGGCATCGTGATTCCCAAGCATGCACATGGTCAGGCAGCAAGGGCAGAAAGGTCAGTGCTGGTTGCAAGAGATTAGAGCAGAGCAAGCTTGTCTTAATAAGTGTTAATGAGGGACCCCGGACCCCTGGGGACGAGTCACTGATGGAACATCTCGTCTTTCATCTTTGCTTCTCTCTCAAATCCCTTCATCTCACATGAGCCAGCAGGCTACCCATCTGTGAGCGGGGTGGAAACATGCGAGCGCTCTGTTCTCTGATTTAAAGATACACATGCATGGCAAATTGTGACACATCAACAAGGTTCAGCAATGCTTTAGGCTTCAAACTTGCTTATTGTTAGTTTTAGAGGTGTAAAAGTTACATTGAGCTCAGTCACACTACTGATATCCTAGTCTTCCTTATGGCAGTGGAGGTACAATTGCTTCAGATGTGTACTGGAATTTGAAACGGATGTGTGCTTTCTAAAGAGAAGGAAAAACATTGCTCAAGGGCTATATACAAACAAAACTCCCCAAAGTCCTCCAATATGCTGCCATCCAGCACTTTTCTCTATTTTCGACATTAAGGAGGCCTGATACACACTATAACATTACATGTTCTAGTATCAATGGCAGTGAATACAGCTGGATAACCTAAATACATCATGAAGGTTTTATTACAAGCATCACATTTTAAAAACAAGGTATTAAACTGTACTTTATTAATGATACCTCAAATCTTGCAGCTTGCTTGTTGATGAGATTCCTTTTCTAAGTAAGATTGTCTTTCTAAGATTGAGTTTCTAAGATTGCCACCTAGTGTATGATAAAACGGGCAAAAAATCCAAAAGATTTACACTGAAGCAGGAAGCCGATGCACATTTGAGTTTGTTCTTTTGATCTGGGCCAGTAAATAATTAGACTGCGACTAATGATTGCAAATGCTATAAAAACAAAAACAGCAACAATAATTTAAAATCTATACAAGCTTTGTTTGATCAGATATCATCTTGTTAGAGTGCGTGCCAGTATTTTCTGTACACAACAATGAACAAAGCACAAGCCATGATGTCTGATTCACAAAGAAGTGACTTTTATGAAGAGGTTCTTTTTAATGAATCAGTCAGAACGTTTCATGAAACAGCCTTGAATTCACTCGTGATTTAGTGGTTTGCATCAGTGAATCGTTCACGGGTGCATTTCCCAAAAGCATCGTTAGCAAACTATGGTCGCAAGTTCCACAATTCTTGACTTTTTTTCTCAAAATTGTGAAATATAAACTTATATCTTGTAAGTCTGAGAAATGAAGTCAGAATTGTGAGAATTCTCACAATTGCGAGAAATAAAGTCAGAATTGTTAGATTAAAAACTCGCAATTCTGACTTTTCTCAGAATTGTGAGATGTAGGCCTAGACTCGCAATTGCGAGGTAAAGTCCAATTCTCTGTGTGTGTGTGGACAACAATGAACAAAGCACAAGCCATGATGTCTGATTCACAAAGAAGTGACTTTTATGAAGAGGGGGAATTTGTTGGGAATTGTTATATCTCACAATTCTGACTTAATAACTTGCAGTTGCGTGTAGGGCTGTGCGATTAATCGAAATCGAATCACAATCGCGATTTGAGACGTTGCGGTGTGGACGCGATATTAGAGCATATGCATGACTGCCAGCCTTGAGTGGCAGCCTTACTAACCAATAGAGTGAGCGCACCCAATCAGCACAAACAAACAAACAAACAGAACGCGGGAGAGAGAGTGTGTGTGTGATAATGGCGTCTACAGGGTCAGATCGATAGTTAGGCAAATACTACAGAAAAATGTATGTAATATGAGATTACTTCGGCTTCAAAATGATAGACACCAAACAAAAAAGGTAACGTTAATTTGCAAGAGCTGCCTCACAACACATCAAGAGCTCCCTTATGTCAGACTTTGTTCCGTGTTTTGTGTGTGTTTTGCTCCCCATGTGTTTCCATGCCCTTATTTGGTCCTTCCCGTTCCTGTCTGTATGTCCATTTGGTCCAGGTGTTCCCCATTTAGTTCATATTGTTCCCAGGTGTGTCCCATTAGTTTCTGTGCATTTAAACCCTGTGTTTCCCGTCTGCTATTAAACGTCTTCCATGAGTTCCTGTGTTTTTCCCGTTGCTGATTCTATTAAATTCCATGTCGAAGTGTTCTCCAGCGTCTCCTCGTTCCAATCCTCCACAGTGTAGTGTGACACCTTATTGGTTCTGCTTTCAGTACTGGAGAATAAACTATACATTCTTAGATGCTTTTATTAGTACATGAACGTTATCTTGCACATTTTATCTCCCCAACATTATCTCCCCAACAAATTCTAATTTGAAAGAAGTTTATAATGCATGTTCGTTATTCCCAGTTCAGAAGACCGCTCACACAGCCTGTGTCTCTGAATGCTTCTCATACTCGCTCCTCTCTCCCGCGTCTCACGGAGGAGCCGTTTAGACTTGCCGCACACACGCAGCCTGTCTCGTAATGCTCGTTTACTCACGCGCGGCTCCGCACCGCAAGTCTCCACGAGCGCTTCTGGCAATATGGACGAGGCTTGACGCACGCGCGCAAACTGTGTCAACTCGCGCCTGGCTCCGCGTTTAAAACAAGTGTAAATTCAGTCTAACTGCTTTGCTCATTTCACTTGGATGGAATGAAACATTCAGCACATTTTCCACTTGTTCTTAAAATCCCAAATAATAAATCAGCCTATGTAACTTATGTAATACTTTAATAACTGACTAAAGTAATACAGTTCTTTATTTACACAAAATAAACTAATCTTTCTTGTGAAATTCAGTAATTAAGTAAATTCTATAAAAGTAGTAAAACCATTATAATATTCTCTGCTGAAAAAAACAATAGAACCCCTCCCAAAACACAGAAATGTAATGGATTTAAGGGTTATAATGGGAATTATATTAGTTTTAATGTAAACTATAATGGTGTCTACTGGTATTTGATGTATTCTATTGGTGGGATGTAATCTGGCAGATGGGAAACAATAGAACAACAGCAATTCCTATTGGAACAATGCCCAAAACACACTACAAAAAGGAATTTTGTAATTGTTTTAATGGAAACCATAAGAATTTCTGTGATGGTTTCAATTGCTTTTTTCTGCAGGGTAATAATGATACCCATACTGTGCTGCACACTATTGACAATGTTAAGCTGAAGCAAATCAAATCGCAATCGCAATATCTGTCAAAAAAAAATCGCAATTAGATATTTTCCCCAAATCGCACAGTCCTAGTTGCGTGTTATTAAGTCAGAATTGTGAGATAAAAGGTCGCAATCACCTTTTTTTATTTTTTATTCAGTGGCAGAAACGGGCTTCCATAAAATCCACACCACAACTATAACAACACAGAGACATCATTTGGAATCACTTTCAGAACTTACCAGATGAAAGATGAAAACGTAAATCAAACTGAATCCACCCAAGTGTAAAGAGCTCAAGCATTTAAAGCAGCAGATGACAAAACTGCAGCACGTGCTTACAGTAAACAGAATGTTATCGTCCGTTGGTGTGAACCCTAATATAATAGTTTTTGATGTGAATGGGCCATTACATCGTTCTGTTCACTAACGGGTTAATATGACAACGTATAAATAGTTTTGTTTCTTTAAAAAAATTCAAATATTTTACAAAAAAAATTATGTGCTATTTCTTTAACATATGTCCAGTTGTCGAATCAACTGGGAAACTTTGGGCAAATTCCAAATGGCTTTTTTGCACCCTTGAAGGGCACTTCTGGAAGGGGACGCCATTTGTAGGGACGTTCCAAATGAAAGTGAACATCTGAATCCCTTCATGAAGGGCCCTTCCAGAAGTCCGTTAGCGAAGGGAACATGCGATGGTCTCTTTACGGAAGTGATTTACATCTGTGATCATGTGATCTTTGGTTAGGAGATCTTGCTATGCATTTGATGCAAAGTTGGGGTTGATTTAGACTTCACATACAAAACGAGAATGTAGAATAGGCTAATTAAAATTGTCTTTATATTAATGTAATACAAAATATTTTTAGTCAGTGACAGAAATAGCCTATGATTTAAGACGGTATGTAAGCAAGTTTAAGCAAGTTTAGTTTAAAAAATTTTAATAATACACAATTAGATGATATTTAAATAAAATAGTCATAAAAAGAAGAAATAATATTTATTTGCAACAACTGATGGAGTGCTGAATGCTGCACACACACGCAGCATTGTCAAGGTAACATCTGGTCAGTCATTCCCTTCGCCAAGGGAGTTCCAAACGCTTGGCCTATACGAGACAGTAATGCCCTGCACTCTTAAAAGAACACACTTCAAGGGCTCTGCCCTTCGAAGGTAGGAGGGCATAGGGATGCTCACTTCCTTTTGCAATTCACCCTTTGTGTTGAAAACATGTTGGAGCTATAATCAACATATTTTAGTCCACTCAAAAATCAGGTAGAAAAACTCTTAGAAAACTGAGTGATATTTACATGGCACATACTCCACTTTTTCCATAAAATTCAAATACCGAATTTATCAAGTAAGCAAATTAAATAGAAGTTAAAACTTGACAATTTTCCTGCTTTTGCTCTGCAGTACCCATCTATGTGCCCTTCCTGATCGTCGGCTCGGTCTTCGTTGCCTTCGTGCTGGTGGGCTCCGTTGTTGCCGTGTGCTGTTGCCGCTGTCTCCGTCCCAAACAGGAGCCTTCATCAGGCGGCGGCTCAGGAGGAGGGTCCAGCAGCGCCCGTGTCCTTGAGACGATTCCCATGATGGCCAGCACAGGTACGTCGCGAGGCTCGTCCTCCCGCCAGTCGAGCACTGCCACCTCCTCCAGCTCTTCAGCTCCACCGGCCGCCCCCCGTTCCGCACACGCCCCTCTGCTCCGCGCCCAGGCCTCGTGCTGCCTCCCGCCGGATGCCAGCGTCTACGTGAACATGCCGACCAACTTCTCAGTGCTAAACTGCCAGCAAGCCACTCAAATCCTTCCTCACCAAGGCCAGTTTCTACATCCTCAGTACATCGGATTCGCCCACCCTGTTTCTCCGGCTCCTGCCTTCCTAGATCCCGCTCAAGTGGGCTACCGCCCATTGCAGTCTCCGTACCCTCCGCCAACCAGCGTGGCTAGTGTGGCCAGTGTGACCGGGGACCAAAAATACCCTCCGGTTACCATGTGAATCCCAATGGGACCATCATAGGAATCAAAATCACACAAAAAATCAGTTCAGGGCACAAAATTGAGAGTCATGGCTTGCAACCACACAAATGAGACTCTCAAACCGGTGCTTTATCAAACACAACATTGTTTTCTGTGATATAAAGGACACAGTGCTTAAGAAATGACTGGATGTGTGTGTAACGTGCCTTGAAAAGTGCTAATGGTGCCTTTGTAAATGAAGCGCGTGTGTATATATGCGATGTATATTTGTGTTGTATAACCGTGCATGTGCGCTCTGTGCGTGACTGTATAGGTGTGTTGGTTTATGAGATGCAGTATGTGAATATGTGTGTGTGTAGTGCACTATATGTTGTGTGTAATGGGAATCACAGGTGCTGTAATGTGAAAAACAGTCCTGGCTCCCTGTTGGATGCTTAAAATCTAATGAAGTGAACACAGGACACAGACTGTGACGCTCCACCCTCTTGCCCACTGCAGCACACGCACATACAGTAGACACACACACTTAAACTTTTGCATATACACACTCACATTCTGCAGAACCAAAGTCATTTTCGCATTGCCAAGGGACTGAATAGAAAATATACAAAAATATAGGCCTGTGTTTGGGAAAGCGATGTGCGAAGGTGTGTGTAGCTGAGATCAGCGGTCTTCTGAAAGCACCAGAGTCAATTACGCACTAAAAACTGTCTGCCAACTGTTCCCCTTCACTAAGTCTCTGCCTTGTGAAAGGACTGTGTATGTGTGCCACTTTTCTTCCCCTCTGTTAGCATAAGGTACACGCGAGGAGTACCAAAAGGGTTCCAGGGCATTTCATTTGGAGTGGGTTTCTTTCAGCGCGCTCAAAGGCAGCAGTTTAGCGAGGGAAAAAAGCCCCAGGCTCCTCCAGAAGGCCATCACCTTTCTGGACTACTAAAACTCCAGCATTAGATCTCAGACTGGCAGAAAAATCACAATGAAATTAAAGACTGCCAGTCTGAAATCACCAAAAAATCACCAGTCTGAGTTATTTGGGTTTTAGAGCTGGAAGTTAAAAAGGTAATTCACTCCAAAATGTTGTTTCAAACCTTTATGACCTTCCGTGGAACACAAAAGAAGATATTTCAGTTTTTTAATCTAATTCAAGTCAATGTTGTTATTGTAAAAACTAACTAAAACTGAAATAAAGGCTAAATAGATATCTTTAACAAACTAATAAAAATGGCAAAATCAAATTTTTATAGCAAAAATTGCTGTTAAACTAAAATTATGTATTAGAAAAATGTTGCTTTGCAAAACAGAATATGAAAAAATAAAAATGACAAAAGCACAAAAACTAAAATTAAAAGGAAAACAGACAATATAAAGGAAAATAACTTAAAATATTAATAAAAGCTATATTTTAAAAATGTCTGTTTTTTCATCTCATGAAAGTCAGTGCTGTTATTGTTAACTAAAACTAAACTATTAAAAATTCCAGATAGAATAGAATTGTTAGATAGAAATAGAAATCTTTAACTTAAACTAATGAAAATGGCAAAAGCAAATAGTTTTTCTAGCAAAAAAAGTTGTTAAAAATGTTAAACTAAATGTATATATTAAATGAAAAACTTGAAAAAACGAGTTGCTTTGGCAACTAACTAAAGTTGAAGTTGAAGTACTAAAGTTAAACTAAAACTGAATTAAAATAAATTGAAACTAAATAAAAAATATTACAATAACTAAAACATGAAAAAACACAATTGCTAAAAACCTAAGCTAAAATGAATGTGAAAACTGAAAAAATATAATTATTAATACATTTTAGAATAATATACAATACTGAAAAAATATAAAGTAACTGATGGTAGTCAGTGGGGTTGTTTTAGAATATCATCTTTTGTGTTCCACTGCTTGGAATGACAGAGTAAATGATGACAGAATTTTCCTTTTTTGGTGAACTATCACTAAAGTTTGAGATAGGATGGTTTCTACCCCTTCAGGAAAAGTAGCAAAGTCTGTCCTGACAGGGAGCATGTCTGTTTCGACTGTATCTGTGGGCAACTTTACATGCACATCAGATCTATTTTTGTGTACGATATGTGTGTGTTTGTAAAACTGAATGAGTATTTGAGCTTGAATGTGCCTCTCTCTTTTTGAGAGCAGGGTGCTACGTGTCTTTTACATATGAAATATAATAATTATAATAAATATTTTTAGAGACTGTGAAGTGTCACTGGGTTGTTTGTAAGAGATGCTGAGTGCTGCTGTCAGCGGTATGTGTGGCGCTCTCAAATGAAGACATGCAGGGCCCGTTTGCACCACTGCCTTGGCTAAATTAAACCCGAGTGCTCCTGTTACACATGGACTTTAAGTGCTCAGACTTTCATCACTCTCAACACTCATGACGAAACTGAGACCAAGGACTGCGTGCATAAATCTTTGCATAGTTTCCATGCTAAGTGTTTGCATATACAGACAGACATTTAGTCATAAAACTCTATGCACATGTTCATATTACTTTTAAATATATGTACTAGATACTGGAAACCAAGCTGAATTAGCCTGAGTTGACGTCATGATTGAACAGCTATAAATTATATGCCTTGGCTAAATTAAACCCGAGTGCTCCTGTTACACATGGACTTTAAGTGCTCAGACTTTCATCACTCTCAACACTCATGACGAAACTGAGACCAAGGGCTACGTGCATAAATCTTTGCATAGTTTCCATGCTAAGTGTTTGCATATACAGACAGACATTTAGTCATAAAACTCTATGCACATGTTCATATTACTTTTAAATATATGTACTAGATACTGGAAACCAAGCTGAATTAGCCTGAGTTGACGTCATGATTGAACAGCTATAAATTATATTTATATACACTACTGTTCAAACGTTTGGGGTTGGTAAGATTTTGAAAGTCATGCAGAGACTGCATTTATGTGATCAAAAATACAATAAAAACAGTATTGTGAAGTATAATCACTTTTTTTAGTATAATTTATAATGTAATTTATTCCTGTGATGGCAAAGCTGAATTTTCAGCATCATTACTCCAGTCTTCAGTGTCACATGATCCTTCAGGAATCTTTCTAATATGATGATTTGCTGATCAGGAAGCATATTTATCAATATCAAAACAGTTGTGCTGCTTAATAATTTTTTTTTTTGTTAACTGATAAATTTTTTTTAAGGATTTTTAAGTGATAGAAAGATCAAAATAAGTCTTTTGCAACATTTTGCTGGTCTCTGAGGGAGATTCTGATAAACTAGTAAATGATGAACGACAGTAAATTATGGCACCTGTTAACATTGAGATGAATGCAAATGGTCATATTCTTCATGTTGTTGAAAGATGAAGTGCTGCCAGTTCAAAAGACATTTACAAGCTGTTAACATGTGTAATAGAGAAATGTTAACAGGCTGTTCTACAATTAAGGAAATCATGCATTTAGTGAAAATTTTTATTTTTAAAATTACACTGCACCAAGTATGATGTGACATTTTATAAATATACGTCCACTTATTTACGATTATTAAAACACTTGATTTAATCACCTAGAACAAAACTAAAAATACATTTTTTCCCCCACAATATATGTGATATAGCCTACACATTAGCTACAAAAATCTGCAACATTTAAAAATAATATTGAACCAAATGACCTCAGAACTGACAGTTGTGTTTAGTTAGTAATATCTGTTTTGCACATGCACATATGAGACAGGATGAAAATGTAGGATGAAAGTGCTAAAACACAAATCGCTTTTCATACTTTAACTAGCTAGAATAAAAACTCTTTAAACAAGTCTTTAAACACACTTAACAGCACACGTCACTAGTCACACTTTCCACCCAGACAATGGCTGCATATACAAACAAAACCCACAATAATTGCAGTTAGTTAAGTCTGCCTGTGTTCTTGGCATGTATATATGGAAACTTTAGGGTCAGACTAACGTTTGGGGAGTTATTGGACAGAGTTGAAATGGATCCATGTGGTTCCTGCTGAGGTGGAACAGGAATGGATTCCCCATATTGGAGGCAGTGGAGCTGGACAGAGCTGGCTCATATTCAGAGACGTGGGTGTGGACTTCTTAGCAATGGGGGATCATGGGACTGATGGGGTTTACAGGGTCACACACACCCTTACAGTTACATTAAGACTTCAACTCGTATGGGATTATTCTTAATATCCATTCAACGCACCTATCGTTAATTCAGAACATATATAGTTGAGTACATCTGTGTAGTTCATCTTTCACATACACACTAAGTGCACTGATGTGCAATGTGTTCTTTGGCAAATTGAATGATTCGGGGTTTAAATAAGGTAAGATCTACATATGCTGTAAATGTGTTAGTACTCTTCTGTCTTTCCTGTTTTTAATCTTAAAATAACACTCCACCTCAGCTCATTTCCTAACCTGTAACTCTGACTCAGCTCTGAAGTGCACTTCAAACAAAAATCAAACTCCACTTATAAGTCCGCTAGTGTTGAATGTTGGCTTTCACTTTTTTAAGACAGCATAACTGAACCAAATCACGCTAAGCTCATTTTTTTAGCTCAGCAATTTTACAACGATCTCCTTTTCACATAGGCTGCTATTCAGAGTTTGTTAATCCCTTAAAAACTTGATGAATGTATGATGTAAATTCGAATAGAATGAATTAAATTCTTATATAATTTACTCACCACCGAATCTGAAGCAATGTGTTAAACTTTAGTCAGGAGAACTTTCTGTGGTAGCGTGAATCGAATCACGAACAATGGACTCATACGAACCGGTTATTTTCAATAGGTCAAAATCAAAAGATTCACAAACCAGTTTCGAATCTTCGAATTCCCTAGTGAGTTAGCGGCCAGTTAACAAGACTCACTCAGTCAACGGTCAATGAATCGTGCGGTTACAAATGACTCCTCTCTGAACTGTGAGTCGTTTTATCTATTTGCATAGGCACATATAGTTAGATATAGTTTTGTTATTAAACTATATAGTTTTGTTAATTGAAATAACTAAAGCTGAAACGAAATATAAATATTACATGATAAAACTTTAAAATTAAATATTAAATGAAAATTAGAAATTTTGGCAAATAACTGAAGTAAGTTTAACTACTAAAATAACTAAAACTGGAATTAAAATAAACTAAAGAGAATATAAAAAAATAAAAATGTCAAAAGCACAAAACAAAATTACTAAAACTAAAATTAAAAGCTAACTTAAAATATGAATAAAAATTAATAGGCATTTTGGTTGAGTACCTACTGCATATGAGTTAATCTATTACGGGGAACTTTCTTTTTGTCAGATATAAGTGAGGTTGTGGAATCGCAAACAATTGACTCATATGAAATGGTTCTTTTAAATAGGTCAAAATCTCCCAATGATTCACAAACCAGTTTCGAACTCCATAGTGAGTTAGCAGTGAGTTAAAGGGGTCATATGATGCTGCTAAAAAGAACATTATTTTGTGTATACCTGTTAACACTCCCGTTTTCCCTCAGTCTCCCTTATTTCACACCCATCTCCCACATCCCTTATTGTTATTTCGCCAAAACCTCCTTAGGCCTATATGAATAATCATATCAGTATTTTATTCCAAGGTTGTCCAGTAACAAAATCTTGTAAGAAACGCATCCTACTCACACAATGGACACATCATACAAATTTCAAACCATTTGTGACCTCAACCGTTATCAACAGTTGCGCTTAGACGCGGGACGTTGAATCATCAGTGATAGAAATGGGAGGAGACTTTTAAAGAATTTAAAGGGGTCATATGATGCTATTTTAAAGATCATTATTTTGTGTATTTGGTGTAACAGAATATGTTAACATGCTTTAATGTTCCAAAAACACATTATTTTTCAAATACTGTACATACTGTACATTCCTCTATGCCCCGCCTCTCTCAAACGTATGGGTCACCATACTTGGCCACATGTCACGTCACTTTTCACTTTTTCACTTTTCACTTTTCAATATTACAGCGAGAATAAAAGTTACTCCTTC